ATATATACATATATGTATATGTTCACTGCAAAATGGTCATTTATATCCCCCTTTTTTGTTTACTTTTGTCAGAGATAGGTATTCCATTGCCATTCAAATATTATAGGTGCATGAATTCAGCAAAGTAATCCAATATAGTCTAGTAGTCCACTGCATCTTGATTAGGAGACAGTTATTTATTTCCCAAGTTTATAAAAGTATGTCCAATTATCTTTGGCTAAACAGAAATAATAATACATCTAACCTAAGAATCCCAAATCTGTCAAATATTTTTTCTGGGTGTGGCCAGATTGTTTACTGAGAGTTTAGAGTGTAGGCTGCTTATATAAAGCACTGACCTGCAGGAAGAAATCTCAGTTTTATAGGTATTTTTATTCTTCATATAAAATTGTGTGTAATGGTAGAAAATCACAACTCTACACTAGCAATACATATATTTAAAGATACATATGATGGGTACACTGTTAGAGATTTTTCTAGTCAAAGGACTAATTTCTCCATTTGTAAATGTCACAGTTCCCAAATCTTAAATTTTATGAAGAAATGTTCAGGTATAAATAAAGCCTTGACTGGGTCCATGCTTATACCCCATGACAAGTTGTCAAGTTTCACACTTATGGGCTGCTTAGCTGGTAACGATTGCGTTGGTTCTGTGCAGTAGGAAAGAGGGGCCCACAGGAAGAAGCAGTCAGGTCATCTTCAGTGAATGCAGAATTTCTTGCTCTATTGTGGTGACCTCTGTAGCTTGCAAGGATATCAAGCTGTGCTTTATATCTAGTTTGTGGATGCAACATTTCAATAGTATCCTAAGGTGGAAATAGTGTTATTTTTAGAAAATATTATTCTAGTATTATTTATGAGAATATTAGTGTTTGAAAGTGAAGTACTTGTTTAAAAGCTGGTACAAATGATAAAGATATGAAGCATACAAACTACTGGGAATATTTTAAAGATCACATTGAAAAATGTTTAAAAGGATTTCGCATAAACTTTTAGTACACATGATATTAAAACTGCTCAGAAAACTCTCAGTTCCATTAGATACAAATTGGATGTGATATAAACCCCTAATGAAAATAGTATGTTATTTAAATGTAGCTGTTATCTATAAAATTTTAATTTTTGAATCCAATAGTCACCCACAGTAAAATAATTAGCATTTATAAATAACAGACATTATGGTGTAAAGTTGCAATTTTAAAGAACATGATATGAAAATTAAATCACTTATTTATATACTCATTTAGAAATACAAACTTAATCTGATTACAGAGTCGAAGGTTTCAGAGTTAAGAAGAGCTCTCTGTACCACATAGGACAATTCCCTTTTAAGTCAAAGCACATTGGGCTTATAGGATGTAGGGTACCTTGCTGACCAGACAGCAAATTCAGGAGGGCGTCAGGCCAAGATGGCATTCTGATTCAATGATCTTTCCAGCCTATGTATCCCCTTTCATTAGATTTTTTTGTGTGTGTGTGGATGGGACACGACACTTGACACACACAATTTAAAGGAAGAAAAGTTTAATTTGGCTCACAGTTTTGATGATTCAGTCCCTGATTTGTTGGCTCCAAGTCAGGGACATCATGGGGGGAGGACAGAAAATGGAGCAAAGCTGTTCATTTATTTCATAGTGGCTGGAGACAGGGCAAGAAAATCATGCCAGATAAGGAAAGTCTCAGTGACTAGATGTACTGGCCAGGGTTGGGTCTACATGACCAACCTAGACACAACCAGAACTATGCATTCTTGGTTCCCTGGATGGCTCCCAAGCCAATCAAGATAATAATTGAATATAACTACCTATACTACTCTTGCCAGTTTGACACCCAAACATATCTCTTTAAGCCATATTTAAATATCTAAATATGAACAACAAGGTCAGAATTTCAGATCACATAGTGTAACTATTCTGTGTGAAATGAAATATACAGTAATCCCTTACTCAGAGTCTCAGTAATTCTAGCATGATTTAAAAGTCCCAGTTAGAGTGTTTTCTGAGAGTTAAGGCAAACTTTTAGCTGTAAACCTTTGTAAAAATAATAAGTTACCTAATCTCCAGGAATAATGACATAAGATGAATACTCCCATTGCAAAATGGAAGAATAGGAGATAGGAAAAAAATAGGACTAAAGCAAGACCAGAACTCAGAGGGGCAAACA